TTCCTTTTATGCATTTCCTTTCAAAGATTGTTATGAAAGAATACTGTCTAACGTTTAAACGTCTATCACAAGTATGATATTTAATTTTTGAACTCATAATTTTTCCATGAAAGGAAGTAGGTTCTAGTAAAGCGACATTCGCCCCGTCTATGAAAGGGATGTATGCACGTATGTACCCCAAAAGTAAAATTACAAAATTACCGAACTCCAAGGAAAATTCAAAACGGAAAGTCCCTTATCAAAAGCTCAAACACATCAAACGAATGGAAAACAACTGTCATATTCATGACTTTGTACAGGCATTTCCTTATGTAAAAAATGGTGGATTAAATCTTGTTTTATAGCTAGCTAAACTTCTCACTTGTATGACAGTCGCATAAAATTCCATTATATTGACAACAGTGTGTGAGCAAAACAAACAGATATAATACTGCATTTTTATGCACCTGTCCGAAGTCAGGAGCCTGTTGTTCAGTGTTTGTCGTTTGTTGGTGTGGTTTATAGGTGTTTCTCGTTTCTCGTTTTTTATATAGATTAGACCGTTGGTTTTCCTGTTTGAATTGTTTTACACTAGTCATTTTGGGGCCCTTTATAGCTTGTTGTTCGGTATGAGACTCCGTGTTGAAGGCCGTACTTTGACATATAATTGTTAACTTTTTATACATTGACAGAAATGAAAGACAAGAATACAAAAAATGACCATAGCGCAATAACACAATGGCGGGATGTATAAATACCGAGCCACGCCAAAAGGATATTATCAAAATGGACTAAACAGTAAAGGTTAAAAATATACAAAGACGCACAAAAAGAACACTATAACACGTAATTAAGACAATAAACAACGTCAGTACCTAGAACCATAATGGATTATTTGAGAAGTTGATATGGAATATTTATCAAGAAGGTCTTGGTATCTTCCGATGAACCTTTTAGAAGAAGGACGAGACGTTCTTTGACATAACCCTGGTTTGTCAACATTCTGCTCAGACACTGGTCCGAGAAGCAACTGCAAGCTCTTGAATACCGAATGAGTTAGGAAATACATATATTCATATCAGTTGAAGTAAAATCGATCATCACTTTTTTCCAACAGTGAATTTTATCCGAAAAACAAGTTGGTTTGCAACGGCACATGATAAGTGACTCTGACTTTTTCATTTCAATACATCAGACATCTCTTTAGGTTGTCGATGTCTGCATTGTTATTCAAATCTTGTCTTAATAAATCATCAAAGATACCAGACTTATAATGTGGTACACCAGACGCAGGTTATCGGTGGCGCTCGGATCAAAACAGTTGCAAAGCCAAAGAAGAGCATTAATAACCGAAAATTCCGAAAATGTGTGCCTATTACGGCTAAGGCATTCTTTACCTGGAGGCAGAAAAATCTTAGTGTTTTGAGTATTTCAACATTTTATAAACAGTAAAATAACAGAGAAATGAATATATCAATGATATTTCATGTCAGCAAAAAAGTGCTGACTACTGGGAAACGTCCACCAGCAGTGGCATCGACACAGTGGTTGAAATAACTCACCAATACCAGGCTTATAATTTGGTACGCCAGGCGCGGGTTTTATCCATGCAAGACTCATCAGTGGTGCTCGAATCAAAACAGTTAACTCTCCGGTGGGAGGGGTAGATTAAGAATTTGCTATACCGTGGGGGGTTTGTCTTTCTGTGACGATAGTATTTTTTTGGTTAGCTTGTTTACTAAGGTACTGTCTAATTTGTGTATACATATCCTTTTAATACTGCAAAAATGTGCAAGATTTATTTTTTTTGAGAAAAAAAAGCTCTTATTTTAAATCATCATCTGGGTGACTTATATATAATAACAGAATAGAGTTCCAATGTCCTCCGCGTTGCACATATTTTATCTATCCAAGGGCAATAACTAAAAAAAACCTTCTTTTTTTGTCGTTCTTTAAAACTTTTTACAAATATCTTAGAGAAATGAAGGCTCATTTGAGAGTAAATACAAAGCAATTTCCAATACAGTTTATATTTCCGAGGGGCATTACTCTTTTAAAAATATTTGATCGGCACTGATTTTTGAACTTATATAAACCTTTGATATAAATTTGATAAAAATCGGGCATGAATTGTACACATGAGAACGCTAACAATGCAATTTTCCATCTAATCAATATTTTAAAATAATTGATCGACACTGATTTTCGAACTTGTTCGAGACATTGCTGATATTAACCTATGATGTAATTTTCATAATAATCTGGAAGGAATTGTACACATGATAGCGCTGACAATGAAATTCTCATTATAATTAATATTTTTAAGTGGCATAACTCTTTTAAAATTAATTGATCTGCTCTGATTTTCGAACTTGTCTGAGACATTGCTGACATAAACTTGTGATATAAGTTTTATAAAACTCTGGAAAGAATTGTACACGTGAGAGCGCTTATAAGACCGGACCGACAGACGGACACACGGACGGACGGACGGACGCCCGGTATTTCTATGTCCCCCGCAACACGTCGCGCGGGGGACAAAAATAAAGAGATGTGGTGAGACCGCCAATAAGACAACTATTCATCAGAGACCAAAGGACATTGATGTCAACAACTATAGGGCTCAAATCATAGAAAATATGAAAAATCATACAGCATAGTAAGCTATTAATTAAGACCCCGGCATGACAAAATGGGAGAATTCAAGAGAAAACCAACGGCCTGAATAAACTCATCATAGATATCAGGATTCAAATTTTGTTCGCTAAACGCGTGTGTTCGTCTACAAAAGACTCATCACTGACACTCGAATATAAAAAATGTAAAAAAAAGGCCAAATAAAGTACGAAGTTCATACTTGATCAACAAGCGAGAAACAGACAGGTCAGAAAGCAACCAAAGACAACAACTGTATTATAGACTCCTGACTTTTGACAGGCACATAAAATTTTTTGCGAAGTTTAACATGTTTGTGAGCTCTTAACTCTCCCACAAACCTGGGAGAGTGGTGTAATGGATCAACATAAACCAAACTATAAAAATCAGTTGAAAAAGGGCGATTCATTAGATCACCACTTAGTACAAAAAACCATGGAAGTATTATATTGAATATAATACTTCCATGAAAAAACTAACAAAAAGACCCAAAAAGAATGTCAGTGTAATTAATTTTACCTTTTCGAATATTTTGGATATAAATTTATCTGTTATAGTATTTTAATATATCGTCTTTATCATAAAACATATAATGGAAAAGTCAGGACTAATACTGGAAACTTTAAACGGTAAATAAAAGCCCAACTAAATTAAATAAATGTAATGATTGACGTAATGAGATATTGCCAGTGTCTTATCAAATAATTCCTTGAACAGGATTGTGCTTTTGAAGTAGAATATTTTTGTAATCTTAACTTTTTAATCGTATATATTTATTTGAATACACCCAAGTATAAGTCTTATTAGCCCATTCTAGGTGTGCAAGTAAAATATAGTTCAAAAGAACACATGAACTATTTATGTGTTGCCAGTGACTGATTTGTTTTGATTCGAGTTCATTTGCCATCTGAGACTGATGTCAAGAAACACTCTCATAAACTACGTAGTTTGTTATATTGAAGTAATAAACCAGTCCAGTACCAGTTAATTTACAGAGGTTATACATGTAACATGATATATATCATAGCATAATTATTCATAACAAACTCATTGTTTACGACTATTTGTTCTGTGCAGAATTATTTGTTACTGTTTTCTGAACTTATAAAATTGATCTGGAACAACTGGGTCATGGCAACTGATCATTAACACGTTATAAAAGTAAAATTTTTGGAACCTAAACACCACTTACTTTATTTTTTAAAGCAAATCTTATTGTGTCTAGTACAAAATACTAAAAAGCTACAAGAAATATGCTAAGATGAGCTAGAAACACACATTTATAGTAAGTTTCAAACGAATTGTTCAATGATCAGAAATAAGTTAAACAACTGTGTTTGCCGGCTAGATTACTTTCTGATGTAAATGTTTAAAGAACAGATCGAGGGAAAGGAAAATGAGAACGATTGAAAAAAATTTAAAAAAAGACGCAAAATTGAATAAAAAAGAAACCCAAAAAGAAACAAAGAAACAAAAACTAAAAAAATAAGAAATATAGCAATCAGAAAAGGGAAAAAATAAATAGTCAACAAACAGAACAAAAATAGGAGATATTAAGTGCATGTTCCAGAGCTTTAAATAACAGAGATATCAATCCTCAGTATCAATCACTTTGAAATCCAACTTATTCAACAAAACAAATAACATCTGCTTCCGTTTGTTATTGATTTCATATCAATAATATTAGCTTTCAATTAAGTAAACAAATAATGGCTACTGTGCCGCCAAAATGAACTGCACACGATTTAATAAGGGTAACCAGTACATCGACGTCTGGCATTATCGCAGGCTAGTGGTAATTTCTCTCACTCTTTCGTCTATTTCAGGCCGATGATGACGTAAAAGAAAGTCGTTATGTTGGTTAGTTTAATCAGCCAAGGTAATTACACGGTTAGCTTTAGACATACGAGCAATCTTAATAACAAACAACGAGGGTCTGGAATATTCGTTTAATTATATCTTATCATTTTTTTTTAAATATTTAAAAGATTATTCCACAGATGTATATAATAGGGTTTTTTTTCCCCAAAGTGATGTAAAGTTCACCTGATAGCATCTGATACGTCCGCCTTAACAAACCATCAATAAATGGGTTAGGTGAATGAAACACCAAAACAAAGATTTATTGTGAAATTATTTTTTTACGTCATGAATTAAGTGCAAAATGTTTGATTATAATAGTAGATAATAACCATACACCAACTATAGTTGTACTTATTGAGAGAAAAGTTAAAGACTTAAAATGCTAACCTTCAGCTAACATCGCGGTATGCAATAGAGATAAATTAAGGAGAATTTTAACCTACATACATTTGTAAACATTGTTTTCTGTTCTGCAAAAGACATTTTTGAGAGGAATGATACATTCATTAAGATTAAATCATAACTAAAGAAATGTCTGTTGAACAAATTGCTATTGAAAGGCGCTTGAGTTTTGTGTAGTTTTTTCTGTCTGCATTAAGCATCGATCTTTTAACAAGCTACTGCATATCTTCTTGAATAGAAGAAGACTTTACCACCCAGGTATATTTTAGAAGATCTATTTTAACATCCTGATTGGTATACTCAACGTTTACCTGATGTGAATGAAACTTTATTTACTTTGAGAGATAGCGTGATAAATAGATTACTAGTATTTTGACTGTACAGTCATGAAATATATATGAGAATTATTCAGAGAAATTATAGAACTATTGATACATTTAATTGTATTGACCTCTTTTTCCATTGAGATTTGATAATTCCATGACTAAAGAAGAGATTTTGCAATAACCATCGGCATTTTAAGAGAAATCATTTCTCCTCTGAGAAATTCTTAAATGGGATTACAACAAATAACCTTTATTTAGAAGAAAAGAATCTGAAGTCATAGATAATTTAAAAAAAACTGGCAAGGGAGTACTGAGTTTGTCGAAGCTCAAGTGAAGTCTCTTTTGAACATAAAGTTACAGTTGTTTCTGTAAATAGTTGTTGACATTTTCTAATGAATGGTTTGCCATGATGGACACCTGTATAGTATAACGTAATTATCGCTTGATGTAATTTTAGATCACCTTGGGAATACGAGTAATTGATTTTCTTTCATAATTACAGCAATTGACAATTTCTAGGGATTATTGATTAATTTTGTCATTGGCTGGAAGAAACATATCTATTAACAGAGCTATGAATGTGCACTTTGTTAAAATTGTTTCATGAAATAACATCATATTGAATATTATTGACCACATATTGGAGATACCAGTACAGACGCTTCACAACTAAAAATGAGGGTAAGAATTTGTTTTTTCCACATTTTACATAATTTCAAATAATAATTCGATTTGGTTCATTCGAAATTCTCTATTATTTTTGGACATCCTATGGATTTCATTTGAAAACTATATTCTACTAATATATACCGGGATGTATGTTTATAAAACTAAAACGTTCATTTTAAAAATTATTTTTCATGTTCATTTATAATTTTTTTGTTTGTTTATTATTTTCAATTTTTTCATACTTATCTGTAAAAGGTACACAGATACGCAATGTTTTGCAACATGAACTGTACCCACTGACAAAATAATGGCCCTCGACTCGCTCGCTTACCATTTCTGTAACATAGCATTATCATACCATAAATTTGGATTGGCATGATTTTAAAACAATTATAGTGTTTTTGTACTGTGGTAAATTAATGACAGTATCAAATTAACAAGCGTGGACGATCGTAATTTAGCTACTCTGCACCAATAGTTCTTTTCTCCATTGTCAGTAGTATAAACAAATACGTACTTGATACATTTTAGTCTTTTTTACCATCTAGTTGTAGTTATAAATATAAGGCCTATAATAGCTTGTAATCCTCAATCATCTTTCATTGAAATCTTAAGCCCTACATTATCTATATGTCATGCATATTCACAAATGTAAGATATAATTAAGTAGACTGAAGATTAATTGCACCAAATATGAAACATACGGTGTTTTTCCCTTGCTTGCGTCATTTTAATACCAATCCTTCGGAAACATTTTTTTTTTTTGCTTTTATGACTAGTTATATTATATAACAACTATTACACTGTTTTGAATGAAGTTATTCCTCGTACAATGTACTGAAGAGTATAAAAGACATTTTCTGGATGTCATTAATGCGAGTAAAATTTTGCAATTTAGAGATATGTCTGACTCAGATACATGTAGCATTCAATTTCACTTTTTTTCCAACATCAAATGGAATGAAATGTTTTGATTAGAATATTTGCTAGAATCATCTGTGTACATTCGCCCGCATTTTCTAAAATATTGGAGTTCGACAAGAACACAATCTAAAAAGTTTACGAACTCTTCATTATTTATCTTCAACGAATCTTTATCTAGGTCTAAAATATATAAATCATGATTGGTTTTTAATCAGGCTCTAAAGATTCTAGATTAAAAGAGGGGGATGCTTTGAGATCTAACAAAAGTTTAATCCCGCAACGTGTCCACGTGCCTGTCCCAATTCAGGATTATCGTCAATGGTAAAAGTTGTCGGAAAACAAAAGAAAGAAATCCGAAACGGTTATATGAAGACGGGAAACGGAAATTAATCAATTTTTAGTTAGCCAATCTGTTATGAACATCGATTTGTAAAAATATATGTTTATATATAAAAAGTGCACACTTGTTTGATTAAGAAATGTCGATATGTCGTGTTAAATTTGTACATGTATACATGAATGATAGCCGATCCTTGAATGAAACAGGTGTAAGATAAATATATATCTTCATGACTAACGTCGACAACATCCGTTCTGAAATAACCTTATTTTCCTTATCTTGCGCCCTTAAAATAAAACAAAATTGTAAAACTAATTCAGTTTAGACTGATCACATGTTGCATCCAGACTCTGCATTAAATCTGTACGTCTTTATAACACATTATTACACTATTCACATAAGATAAAATTCAACTTTTTAGTTTTCTTATACTATCTTCTACTTTAACGATTGCTACATTGCAGCTCTTACTGACAAAAGTGCACTGCAGTTTTTTTTCTAAAATGATGTTTAAAAAAAACGTTTTCTTGGTTATTTCATGATAGATATATTATGTGCATTCATTGTTACAAATTTACCTTACATTCTGGCGGCTAAACGTCAATCAAACAAAAAACCAATAACCCAATAAAACCTTAAAATACATTCAGAATAGAGGCCATCCTAATAATTGGAACTTCAATGATAGATAAGTGTCTATACCATTAAATGTTCCTTCGACTCTGGGGATGCTAAGACCAGTCATGTATTGAAACTGGTCTCTCTCTCTCTCTCGTTAGTATTTTATTATAATGCAAATAAACTGGTTTCGTAAATCAGGACATGTGGTACATTTTCAGCTGGAGGTTTTGTCGATGTTTAATCGTTTAACCCTTAACAATGTTAAGAGATACTTGAGTAGGAGTTTATTTCCTTATTTGAGTGCTATAAACATCCTGTTTATTTTTCACAATAATCCGTACACATTTTACTATGAAACTTAGTGAGAATTCTTAGCAACCTTATAATGAAGAAGACTAGGGATTGATATGTTGTGTTGCCTCAGGTTCCATGGAATCAATAAACTTGCATGTGATTCCGAATTACATGTATCAACGCCAACGTTTCATTTTGAGGTAATTAATCTTTAAATTATTAATGAGATCTGTAATCTAAATGAACATATTTCTTTTGTTGAAATACTATAGATCTGCACAAATGTGTCCAAAGTGGGGTTTTGTGTTTGCTGGCCGGGGGAGGGAGTGGCCACGTTATCGGTTTGTCTCGGATGAATTTGTCCTGTTAAACATCGTACTTACTTATTTGTATATTTATTTTTCAAAAATGAAGCGGGGTGTGGTTCTAAAAAGAAAATAATATCTGCTTTTTTCGTAGTCCAAATAGTTATTACAAAATGTACTTCTTGAAAGGCTATTTTAATTTTGTTTTTCTGTGACGCCTTCCTACGACGACGTATCAGAAAAAAAAAATTAAAATAGCCTTCCAAGACGTCATAATCATTTGGACTACATTTTTCGGTTCTTTGCCCAAGGTGTATTCCATTGTTTTCATATCTCTGATAATCTACTCCCGTTGATACATGGTTTCATATTTTTCTGTTGACGTTCATTTACCATTTTGCAATTTATTTCTGTAATTTGCAACACATGGCCTAGTCATGAAAAAAAAACACTATTCTTTGATGTTCAATGTTTTCACTTCTTATGTTTATCTCTTTTTCAAATTATTGGTTTCACCTACCTGTACTTAGTGAAACTATCTGAACCATGTGTTGTTCGTTGTTGTTTGTCTTTGTTCGTACGTCTGTTTTTTGTGAAGGAATCGGATGTTGGTGGTTGGTTTTGTTCTGTTGTTCTAACTGTCCACTATTTATGGGTAATTCCTAATATCTTTTTATATAATATGTATCATTACATTGGTAGCAATGAATTACATTGATTTCCCAGTCAAATAAAAACCGATAATTTCACATGTGAAATAAACGTGGTTATTTCACTCTCTGACGTCATACAACAATAGGCGTTGTCAAGACGTCGATAACGTCGGATCAAAACAAACTGTGAATGCGTAGAAAAAAAGATATAGTTCCTTACATTTTCTACATTAATTTCATTTAAAAAAAGCCATTTGCCAATGTAATAAAAAGAATAACTAATCAAAGAATTCAAATATCGAAAAATATTCAACTCGTGACCGAACAACATTGATAATTAACTCATGCGCTACGCGCATTCGTGAATTAATGTGTTGAATATTTTTCTCTATTTGAATTCTTCGATTAGTTATTCTATAATTATTCAGTTTTGTATTGCCCTTTTTCTTTATGTATTTACTCATTCTGTAACACTTGATGAGTGAGCTGTTTTTCTCTTTTAATTTTTCTAACTTTTCTAATTAACTGCAGACTAGCTACTATTGTAAAAAATAAATGCTTTTAAAGCAATACCCATAAAGAATGACAGGAATTACACACACAAAGGAAAGTACAACACCACCTACAGTACGCGTATATATACCATATTACATTCATGCTTAATAGATTTTTACACACAAAATGTACAATAATCTGTTAAAAATAAAAGAAAAGTGAGCAGATGTGAATAAAAGGCCTATCCTTCTTAAATTTCATCATTTATGCAACAGATTTTCTCTAGTATATCGATGTAAATCAATATGTCATGTGAATAAAACGAACAGATAGTTAAAAACGATATTGAACACCACCCCCGCTTGATGTTTAGTGCACGCTTCAGCAGCTGGAGCTACACTATATCTAGATTAATACAGGATATCTGTGACATTGTTATAGGATGCATCAGAAATAACTTGGCACGGTGTAAGAATTTTATATTATTTATAGAAAGGCTATATTGTTCAATTAGACAAGTGTAACTAAGGTGATTGTCATATTTTCGCCTTGATGTGGGTTTTGTGGTTGATAAATGTAACAGTATTATAGAGTATGGGTTTTGATCAAGGTATGTTTATTTGATTATTTATATTGCAAGTTTTGTTTGGTGTTAATATATATTTTATGACTACTTCAGATTTGTAAGTAAATTTCTGTTAGAATCAACCATTTGAACAGTATAAGATATACGTGATAAAAATAGCTTAAGTTGGACATGAAATCAAACCAGTTATTTATTCTCATGACAAGTTGACCAGTTAAATTACAATATTACTATATATTGCAGTATAATCAATGACACAATTTTTTTTTGTTATCCGAAATATCTGTTGGTTTTTGTTTTTATTTTTCACTTGTTTAACTTTTGTGTTGTAGTACACGTTTTAGACGTATATTTCTTATAAGGATTGTTTAATTATATAATCTTAAACAAATAATGTACTGTTAGTGATGCTTTAGCACATCAATGTTTCGGAAATAACGATATGTTCACTGGACCAATATGCTCACAAAAGAGAATGACTTTTATGTAAAGTTTGTGAGTGAATTGGTCCAGTTTACGCATAAATAAAATCCGGAATTGCTTTTTAATTCTTGAATTCCTTTTACTGTTTATCGCAACCGCCGTTTTTAAAAAAAAGTTTACATAGCTGTAAATATCTTTTGTATTTGACGATAAGGCATTGGTTTTTGCTCACTGTTGAAGGCCGAAAAGTGACCTATAGTCGCTTACGTCCATGTCAGTTTGGAATCTGGTGGATAGTTGACTCATTTGCAGTTATACCACATCTCATTATTTTTATAGTTTAACGTGAAATCAAGCTGCCATGGTTTATGCATTGGTAACAAAAGAAGTCAACCCTTCCTGATCTATTTTTACTCAATAACCTTGTAAAATGTGGAAAAAAAATAATTCAAACATTGTCAATATACTTCAGCCATGACCTAATGACATGTGCGCATTTATCAACCATATTAGAACACTACAAATGTTTCGTCAAAAAAAAAGATTGCCGACTAATTCAATTGAAAACAAGCTTATTCATTCACAGATACATTTTTGTTTTAAATTATATTAAACTGGAATCTTTAATTGTTTGTGTACGGTGACTTTAAATTTTCATTCTTTTGTTTTAATTAGTTGTCTTAAAATTAATTTATAATATATAAATTAGACCCGATCTTGACGACTATATATAGATATGTCTTTTGTGTGTGTGTGTACTTTTTGTGTTGCTGTCTTTCCGCTGAATGTCCGCTCATATACTATAATAAGAACAATACAACCATACACAAATCAGAGACATATATATGGCAGAGTCTCTGGCCATATAAAGACAGTATTATTTTGATTATCGCTTCAGTTGAATCTATTTGTGACGTCATTTGCAGTATATATGTAAATTGCGGACGAACAGGTACAAAATAGAATCAAGGGGGTGTAGAGAGCGTAGAAACCCTTTTTTGATCATCAAAAGAAGATCTTATGTTTCTCGCGATTTATATGATTTTAAACCATGAAATCATTCAAAACTTGTTTCGCCTCGATCTGCTCGGCGGTATATATTTCTATTTTGGGAATTACGCTAACCCGTTCATAAATGTTGTATCCTCCTCTGATACCTATACATATGCGTTATGTTTCATGTCATACATTTACATTTTCCTTGGTTACAGTATTTTCGTTATTTGGGTTTATGATCATAAAGGTTACACATACAAAAAGTTTGTATTTCAAACAAAGATGAATATTTGCACGCAATGCGCCCACACTTGACCTTAGATTTACTTCCGGATTTATGATCAATATATGTTTATGTGTCTTTGTCTTATCACAGTCATACAGAGACATGTTCATTTCGTATTATTGCATTAAATGTCAGCTTTTATACAAATTACTTGTAACATAATGCGCCAACGTCTGATTAAATTCAAATCTGAGTTTATAAGCATTAATCCAGGTCACGTGTTTCATATATAACTGAATCGTTATTCGTTTGATCACGACTCCGGTCCGTAGCTTCATGCAAAATTGGTCTATTAACCGGGTAAACGGTATATCGTTGAAAAAAAAGAATTTTAATGTCACATATAATAGAAATAATTAAGTAAATAAATATATATCTAGCGAAATTACTAACAGATAAGACCCCCCTAAAAATAAGACATCTGTAATTCCAAATTTATAAATGTGGTGTACTATAAAAACGCCGGAAAAGGAGCAAATCAATTATAAAGAAATACTACTTATTTTTTTCATTTTGATGTCTTAAACTCATAATCGTTTCGTGAAGTTTGAAAGCTCAAAATATCAAACTTTGAGAAATAATGCGGAAGAATAAAAAATGTCGCATACAGCCATCTAACATTAAAGTATTTTTAAATAATGGTATGAAAAATATTAAAATATTTAAATTAAATTTTAAAAAAATAAATAAGAACGTTCTTTGTATGCAAAAATATCATCATTGGCTTTATTCAACACAGAGTTAGTAATGGCGGTGTGTACAACTCAGTGTCTTGTCAACATTGCTCAAATCAAAGAATCTTGTGCTTAAAGACCATTAATGATTTTGTTATATTTTAGATTCATTTCGGTTCTGGGTATCTTTCAATAAAGAAATTTACATAAAGTTTTCAAAATTTAAAAAAAAAATGTCTTATAAAGCAGTGTCACAAACATGATTGTTTATAACATGTTAAAATGATATTTGCTTATTGTAATGAAACTTCATTATTTTTAAAATTATTTTTAAACATACAAATTCAACTACTAGGTTCCATCAACTAAGAAATTCGGATTTGAAAATCCATTTAAAGACGATGATAAAGCAGCGACGTATATTTTATAAATCAACACCGAATTGTTTTAGCACTATGGCATGCACAATTGTAGTCTCTGACTTTTGAAAAATTATATAAAACTTCAAGTTGGTCAACGGTTTATGTAATAGAACAGTTAATATACGAATTGCTCGAATAACCTTTATTTTCAACATGTGAGGAAGTTATTTTGTCTAGCGATATGTTACGTTGATTAATACAGAATATAAAAAGGTTTGTTATTTCTCATACTCCGATAAGGGTGTTAAAGTTATATATATACGATTTTCCTCTCTCTCTCTCTCTCCGACTCCACTCCGTCCTGTCAAAATGACGCAATGCAATAACGTTGTATGGTCAGTCGAAAAGGAAGTACATTTTGCCACAGGCTATACGAACATATACATGAGCGATCCCAATAACCACTTTTATTTATCCAAACTTTGATTTCCCGACGTAAAATATGGCAAGTTTATCTTTTTATTAGTTATAGCTTAAATGTGACAGTGACTATTCTATAGCTTTTTTTTAGATTTTATTATTTAGAAAAAAAAGAACATCCGTGGAAAATAATAAATAAAATAGATTGACAAAAATGTCAATACACTAATACACTCATTTTCACAATAAATTCTTGTTTTTTTTTCTCTCTATTTAATTTGTGTTTTTACTACATGTGTATTATTTTTAATTTGATTATTTTATTCATTTTCTTGAACCTTTAATGTTATATCTCCCAGTATATCTCTCATACAACTAAATAACAGTGACAAAATTATAAAGAATAACATTTCTGCTCTAAAATGACGGCAGAATACCATCCTTTTCATTTCTAAATAAAATCATTTTGAAGAATTTTAGTGTTTTTGTAAATACGCATGCATGACAATATATATAGTATCTCTAATGATGCCGCTTCCTTTAAATCTCTAAAAAGGGAATAAGTTTATGCAGCTTTCAAAAGATCAAAACGCTTATCTCCCCAAGATTGTAAATTTAGTTATGTCCATTCGTTACTTTTCGATTTTTGTTTTTGTCGGTTTCTCTTCAACATATGGATTTTTGTATCTTCCGTCTCTTTTTTATAATACTCACATTAGAATATTTCCATAAATGGAAAATGGTTTTTATTCCCAGTTTTACAGTTTGGAGATATTTCTCTCCTACTCAAATTCTGAATCCTCATTTGGTAAGAAATCACAGTTATTGTGTGTTAACATGATACATTATATATATAAAAAGAATAAATAGACTGCAATTGAGATAACCTTATGAAATATGTTGTTTACTTCAAAGTGTCGGATTCGCACTTATAAGTCTTATGACGTTATTTTGAAATTAACACTTCAGAGATACGTATATATAAAATCGAAAACTTTTCTAATTTAAACATATTTTATAAACTCTGTTTGAGATTGTTAGACAAAATTCACTTTTTAAAAATTAAAACAGTTTATTGAGCAGCGTTCTTTTCACAAAGAAGCAAGAGTAGAATTAAAACCAATATCCATTGAAATTATAATATTGACGTGAACATGACAGAGAATAGGAATATGGCTTTGTATCGAATACTATATTGCGTTTTTGGAAAGGAAGAGGTTTGTATGCGTTAAATTCATTTAGAAGTGGAAGTGTAGGTGTTCTAATATTCCATCACACTGTATATGCTTGCACTAAATACATAACGGAGTATTTTTTAACAATTTTATGCAAAAAACAGAATAAAAATATAATGATAAATTAGTCATATTTCATCACCTTCAGCAGCAGCATCTGTGAATTAACAAGTAGTTTGGTGTTCATATGTATTGTATTTCCTTTAAATGAAAGACTTACTCTCATAAAATCCAATACATTTATTCTTTTTTGTAGGGAGTGCAGTTAGACGAACCTTCAACGCCTATCACCAAACAGTGGAACCAAGACTTGGAAGAGTTTGTTCGACAACTGTCTTCACCAAAACTTGATCTCACAAACCAAACACAATCAACCGATTTAAAACAAGGGGACGAAGTAATGAGATTGCCATCAGAATTGTGTACAGAAATGAAAGAAAAGTGCACAATTTCTTGTGAAAAAACAAAGGAAAAATCTACACCAAAGAATTGGAGAAAAAGAATAATGGACAGAAAGAGTAGTTCGGGAAAAATAAGTTCATTTGACATTGATGAAGCAGTTGAGTTATCTTTTGACAGTACTTCATCTTCCTCGGGGCTTAAAGACAGTAAAGTAACATTTAGTTGTGATACCTCTCCTGAAACATCAGACTTTGATCTTCATTCAGACACAAAGTCAATAGATTCAAAACAAAGCTACACCAAGAAAGACAAAGAATCCAAACGCAGACGATTTAAAAGAATGATTACACGACCATTACGTCGGAGTCACAGTGCTGGTTGTACCAATGACATTCCTGCACATGCACTGTTCGTTGAATCGGATCCAAGTCAAAATGGAGATACGGTAAGTGTGTTATTTATTTATTGGTACATTTGTACTATTTTCGAATGTAAACCCTCTTCTACTTGGATCAACCAAACATGTGCAATAATTAGGGCTGAAAAAAATATCCAGAATGTAGAAACATATTTAAAGAATGACCGAACAACACATTCAATTCACGAATGCGCGTTTTTCATAAGTGAAACATCATTGTTATTTTGTTACGTGTTGCATATTCCGATATTTAAATTCTTGTATTATTTATTCTTATTACATTAAATTTTGATGTAAATAAAGTAGAAAATGCAAGGAATTATATCCTTTTCTATGCGTTCTTACTTAGTGCAGCTTCCTTGACAACACCTATTGTTGTATGGCGTCAGAGAGGTAAAAATACAGGGATTATTTCACATGTGAATATATCATTTTTTTTCTACTGGGAAATCAGTAAACAAATTATTTTCTTACAAATACTGTCTCGTGCAATAATATGCAATAAGTCCAGAAATCAACAACAAACTCTTGTAATGAATTACTGATGGCGTTTGGTACGTTATTAAGGTCAAACGGTATTAAACAATGATTTCATGCTATACCGTTGCCAAACCGAAACCGACATTTGTCATTCTTAGTGACATTACACTGTCCTACAGATAACCAGACTTGACAAGTAAAGCTACAGTTTTCCTACATAAATATGCCATCTTGGCATTGTAACAATACCAATTTCTTTGTGATCCTTGGCAACAAATGTATTGGTTTTACATGTTAATATAATCACACCTAGGAGGGTGTAAGACAAGTACTAGAAGCGAAAATACTATTCATTATGTAAATTTAAAATTAAGGTAAGAATCATATTTAATGATCACTAACATTAAATGTAATAAAAAAAATTGAGTCTTTGTCTGTTTAAAATCCTTTGAAATATTTGCAGGTATGTAAAATTGACTCCTTACATGTTTATTTTTCAAGACGTTTGTTTTATCGGTATCACATTATATATGTAATATTGGCTACTGGAAGTCCATTATGAAAATAGCAAACATGTACCGTAACTACACTTATTGGCCAAAACAAGTATCATTGTGATTGCATTTTTAGTGATTCATTTTCGGGAATATTGACTGTAACTTAGACAATGGGGAAATTACATACTTACTGATATAGAGCAAATTATTGATGAATATGTCGAAAAAAATTTTGATTGCTGTTGATTTAGAGACATGACTTGCATTTTTAGTTTTATGAACATGACTGCATTTCTATCAAATAAACCGAATATATGTGTGATTTTTTTTCATGAACGATATTAGTATTTTTTTTAATTGACTGTAAAAAAAAATACTTTAATATTCGATCATTTTCAAATTTAGATGATCCAGAGTTAAACTACTGTATAAAGATAAGAAGTTGTGATATGATTGCCAATGATGATCAAAACCCATACCATATAGTAGGCAATAAAAGTTCCCGAAATGTAAAACAATTCAAACGAGAAGATCAAAGGCCTGATTTTATAGAAAACAATATAAGAAAAACAAATACTAGAATCAACGACCAACGACAATCACTGAATAAATAACATGCTCATTACTTACAGGGACAGGCACATACAGAATGTGACGATGTTAAACACGTTTGCGAGCGCTAAACGCTCCCCTAACATGGGACAGTGGTGTAACAGCACACCATAAGAGCAAGCTATACAAATCAGTTATAAAGTCGTGACTCATCAGATCGACACGATCCACAAAAAACAAATAAAAATACAATGTATCGATCTAAGAATTCTCGCAGAACTTGACCATTATGGTTCATAACTTGAAGAGTCGAATTTTATAACAATGTATAGCAAGTGGTTTAAAAAAGGATAATTCATTAATAAACTAAAAAAATTGAATACCATTCGTCGATAGCCAACATATTAATTAATAAAGACAAACATAAGCCGGACAAAGAAAGACATATACACCATATACTTAACTTTAAGATATGACCTTAGAGGCATTCACATAACCGAAAATGGAACGTTATCTGCTTTCAATGTTCGGCACTACAAAACAAACAAAAACATGTACATATAGACAGTGACCATGCATAATTGTTTTGTTTTGAACATCGGTTTCCTCGGTATATTTTGGGCTTTTATGGGTTACATGTCAATAATTACTGCTTAATTATAAGTAAACACATTTCAACCTTTATAAAATATTTTTCAAAACAACAATAACAGCTTTTCTGTTTATCTCTCCTAACAAAAGGACATCAGCAACACAGCGGTTTTCTTTTGTTCATCAAACTGTATTCGTGGTATTTATAGCTCAAAAAAACTATATATGGTAAACTAATTTGTGATCTCTGTAAATAGGCCTTATACTGTGGAATACTTAGCGACAAAAATAAATCCTCTGTCTATTTCTAGCAACAATAAAGTAGTTTTCGGGAGAAAATCGATCCTAAATAGGAATGTCTTTTAATGTCTCAAGACGATATCTTAAGGACAATAATAATGAATCATAGCTTCGTGATGTTTATACATTAAATGTGTTGTATTAAAATGACAAGTAAATTACTGTTGTTTTTTCTGAAATGTATGAGTAAATATCATGCAGATATTTAGATTTTTAGTTGTATTTCATTTTTGGTAGGATAAACTATAAGGCACAACTATGACGGTGTAATTTGTTAATCCGAAATTGTTGTCATAAACGTACCATATGAGTGTCTAGATATAAAAAAGGTTGTTGTTTTTGTGGAAAAGAGACTTTTGAATATTTAAGCATTTTCATTTTCTTCAAATTTAAATAAAGGGTACTTTTTCCTCAACGTAAACATTAATTTTAATTTTGTCACTGATTTTAACAAACTGTCACAGATATTTGATGAAATTTGTGAAAATCATAGAAAGTCAGATAACAGCAAAGCTAAATACAAAAATATGACAAAAACACTAACAACTGTTACAATTCACATAACACCACGCAAAACAAAAACAAAAAACCCGTGTGTGAAAGCAAGTACTTGGGGATGATTATCTGTATGAATAAAGGGATACGTGGGAGGTACGTCAATAATCTTAAGACAGCAATCAAACGACACAAATACAAAAAAGACATCTAAAGGTCAAAACACGCTCTTCATCCAAATATTTGTCCTGTAAGAAAAGGGGTAACTTCGGTGTTGATCATTACAAATTAGAATTATTGTTTTTCTGATCTATCATATACATGAACGAGATTTCAAAGTATGCATGGTCAGCATGATTTATAAGTGCTTTATCTTTATTATAAATGATGAATACGTAAACGATTGCTTTTATTTGATTACAGATGGAAAGTCGTGCTATGGAATTATCATTATATCACCAGAGATTTAGAAGCGATAGTGATGGTACACAAGACAGAGAACTGACAAGAAGGGTTCATAAAACATGTTCAGCAGATGCTACAATGATGAACTCTCCCGATTTTATGACCAATACTTCACAACCAAAATCTAAATCGAGAAATTTGTAAGTTTTCATTTATACAACTGTTGGTTTACAGTAATATTTCCTACAGAATGTAGTCTGTCTTTCGAAACAGACAGGACAAAACAACTTAAAGAAAAATGAATCTTCACAGAAGAGAAGATAGGTTTTTGGTTTGTCATGAATATCAGGTTAATTATGAATATCAAGTAAATCATAAAATCACATTTTTTCATATTATCTGATTGTAATCTTCCATAGTAAATGCATGTGTTCTACCTTCTTATACACAGAGGAACAAGATACTAGAGGGGGAATATCTTAGTACCATTATTCTGAGATAAAAAAAAAATCACAGTTCACACAGATGAACCAAATTGAAGAAAGTTTGAAAAATCTTATCAGTTCAGTTGTTGTTAAGGCAATGGAATTTAAATAAATACTGGAATATACACTTAAACGAAGACATAACTGTGTTGTAGTTAATAATAACTGTAAAGTATATTACTACACAACACAAAATTGATATTACTGTATTTTATTTCTTTTTTTGTGTAAATGGATATGCGGTTAATATTTTGTTCATTCATGTTTTGTAGAGGGTTTAAGAATATGAAGAGGAAGTTTCAAAATCTACGACGCAGAAACACGGACACAGCACTTGTTCCTAAATTTTCTCTACCTCTGCATTTCACGATTCCAACGTATGATCAAGCCTTTCAGTGGAGTAAATCATTTGAATCCCTGTTAACTGATAACAGTAAGTAAATTCTGTCATTTCATAATGTAGTAGTCAAATTCGAATAAAAACAAGATGTGGCATGGTTGTCGATGAACTATCCACAAAGATCAAAGAACGCATGCGTCAACTAAGAAAAGTACGGGGTCTTTACCTATGAGCAAAACCCATACCGTATAGTAAGTTACATGTTATGAAATGGTATCCTCTTTGTTCAGTTTATTGACATTAGGGAGAATAATTCTCAAATTTTCAGATTAAGCTAATTTATTTTTTGGTATTGAGGTGTACTGTAAATTCAGAAATTAATGCGAGGTTTTTATTAATGCGAATAATGCGACTGAAAGAGTATCGCATTAATAAGAACCCGCATTCTTATATCTGATACATATAACTGTATGTATATTTTTCTGAAATCGCAATAATAAATCTCGCATTTTAGTCCTTTCTACTAAATTCGCAATAATAAATGCATGCAATAATTTCTGAATTTACAGTAATTAAATTGCAATGAAGAATGAGTCTAAACAGTTTGTTACATTAATTATAGTAAACAACATGATCACACACACTGCATCAAGACGTGCTTAGGCGAAATTGTAAAAACCAGGAGATGTCATTCACTACGATAATGCAACTATCATAAATACAATTGTTTTCATTTTTTAGATGATGCATTCATGTGAGTCTTAATTTCTTATAAATTAATTTACATTGATATGTTCATTAATTGTTTACAGGTGGTTTGGAACTATTCAAGGGATTCTTGAAGTCCGAATTCAGTGAAGAGAACTTAGAGTTTTGGATTGCTTGTGAGGAATTCCGTTTTTCTAAAGAACATAATGTACCAGTGCTTGCACAGAAAATATATAGCGACTTTGTTGCTTTCCAGGCACCAAAAGAGGTTAGTTTGTTTGTTTTGGTTCTACGTCAATTTTCATTTATTCATATAATCTAATGAACGAACATAATATTTTATGTTTTGAAAAAAACCTGTATGTTCATGTAGAAAGTCCGAATTCTTACTATTCTTTCAATTTTTCAAAACTTTTTTCCTGAATTGAAAATTATACCTGGATTTCAATATAAAAGATATTGCTGTTTTTATTATTTTAGTAGATGCATTAAGTTCCATATTAACCAACTAGTACGTTTTAGAACTTTTTAAAGCATGTGCAATATTCAGATTATTTTTTTTACATTTCAGGTTAATTTAGATTCTACCACAAGGATGACGACTGTTTCAAACTTAGAAACCCCTTCTAAACAAACATTCGAAGTGGCACAGCACAAAATTCAGGCATTAATGGAAAAGGATTCATATCCTAGATTCATAGAATCAGAACTATATCAGCAGATATTAGAAAGCGTATCGAAAGTATGAAGTTATAATTGTTACGCTCTTAAATATTATGATGTTATATCATCCCCCGGGAAAGCACCTGTTCCCTGACAGCGACATACCGATAGTTACGTTCTACATTACGTTAAGATCCGTTAATGTAGATGACAGAAGTGGTAAATCGTAAACAGGCTAATAATACTGTCATTTAAAAGGAACATATTAGATAATTGTTGGTGTATCAGTCACTTCCCTACATCAGCATTTGATAGTGCGTATATATAATTTATCACGATTCATTAATCATGTGACAATAATGTGGTTTTCAAAATACATCATAAGAATGATATAGAAATTTTCATTAAAGAACATTTTGTGGCAATGAACCTTGTATTTCACGAAATGTTTTAAAAATTCGCATTTTAGTGAACTATATGGAAGTAAATTCTATAAATGATAAGTTCTAAGAAAGACAACTCGAGCACAATGTGCAGCGACATTTCTCTCGGATAACACATTGTAGCAATACCAAACTGCTTGCTTGCAATCATGTTTTCATATTTATTTTGAAAATGTCTGACTTTTTGTTAAACATTCTTTAAACATTATATTTGCATTCACATGTTTTTATATTTTATGTGCGATCTTAAATAATTATAAATGTAAATAAATTAAAATAGAATGTTGATTTGTTTACATTGTTGTTTTATTGAATAAATTTTTATACCGAATGGTTTTATTTATTATTTATTTGAATGCTGATGAAATAATAAATTGACGAGCAATGGGTTCAAAGAAAAAAGAGTGACAGCATAATATGCATTAATTACCAGAAAGAGATAAAAATAATTTTCTCTTACTTTTAAGTATTTTCAAGTCATATATGTGGTAAAAAGGCCTAGTTGAACATCATTTGGTCTCTTGTGGAGAGTTGTCTCATTGGCAATCATATCACATCTTATTTTTTTATAAGTCATTTTTACCTCACCTAACCAAAAGGGTAAAGGGAGCTATTCTCATCACTTGTCGTCCGTCGCCCTCGTCGTCTTTTAATATTTACAAAAATCTTTTCATCTTAAACTGAAAGGCCGATTGGAACCACACTTTTCCACAATTTCTAATTTAAAAATGTTCCGGTGATCCGACTTACCCGTATACAAAAGTTCCAAGTCCAGCTTGTATTGAGTTACGAATTGAAACTTGGGAGTATTGGAACTATTTTTCGAATCGTCATTCGTAAGATTACACATACATGTACAGTAGCAAACCAACATGGCTAAACTAGAACATAGGGGTAACTAATTTTGTTTATAATCTTGAAAACCGCTATAGATAGAGAACATCTAATATAGGGACAGACATGTTCAGAATAATGAGACCACCTACTGATTGTTTACACCAAAACTATAAGACGACTCATTAAAGTAGTTATTGGCCATAAATATAACACAATGAGATGTTGTATTGTGGCCAATAAGACAACCCTCCACCAGAGTTCAAATAACGTGGTTATTAGATCACCATAGTGCCTTCAACAATGAGAAAAACTGACACCGTATAGCCATCTATAAAAGGCACCGACATGAAAAATGTGAAACAATTAAAACGAATAAACTAACGGCCTAATTTATAATAATACAATTTACGGAGAACAAATATGGCAAAAATGAGTCATACTCATTGTTGAAGGCCGTACGGTGACCTATAATTGTTAATTTCTGTGTCATTTGGTCTCTTGTGGAGAGTTGTCTCATTGGCAATCCTACCACATCTTATTTTAATATGAACCAACGACAACCACTGAATGACAGAATCCTGACTTGGGACAGGCACATACAGAATGTAACGGGATTAAATATGTTTATGAGCGCTCAACCATCCCTTACCTGGGACAGTGGTTCAAAAGCACAACATAAGAACAAACTAAAAAAATCAGTTGCAAATAGCCTCACTCAATAGACCGGTACGAAACACAAAAAACAACTAACATAAAAACAATAGACACAAAAAAAGCACCGATATACATTTTGTACGAGTACTCGCAGTTACTGAAAGGTAGTTCAAAGTCAAGCACAGCCATGTTCTCCAAGACTAAAGTATCAATCAAAAGGCAGCCAACGGATTTAGTGCTTTAAAAGAAGTCAAAAACAGTCTGAGAAACGCATGACCTTGTGCAATGCACAAATATAAGTAAACAGTATCGACAGGATGTAGGATTTTGAGTACAGTAACTCATAACTGTACACATATATCAATATATATTCATTTATGTTTTAATTTTTCAAAAACAAAATCAGTGTTATTACCGGTAAAATAATATTCCAAAATTTTACTTCGGTGTTAAATTGATAACCTTTAAGAACTACCTAACCATATCTTAGTTTCTGCGAAAGAATTTAATATAAGTTTAATTAATTTGCGGTAACGAAACCCCTTATTCAATAATTTACCAGTTATACATAAATTATGTTCATTGAAATCTAAGACGCTACTACAGAAACTGGCGATTTTACTGTTTTTTTTGGCGTACTATCTTGAAAACTATAATAGGTAGAGGTAAACTTTAAAATGCAAATTGATCAGCTAGACAAAAGACCGAAATCTGGGGCAACTTCTTAAAGGAGAAATTGCCCCTAAATAACGATTTTTACAATTGTTTGCGTTTTTTGCTTATTATCTTGAGTTCTATAATAGATAAAGTGCTTATTATCTTGAATATTATACTAAATAAAGAAAAACTAAAATCAACTCCTTATAGCAGTTATTGCCCCTAAATGACAATTTTTACCAAATTTGTATTATCTAGCCGAAAATATAGTAGATAAGGAAAAAATTGTAAACAGCAAAAAAAATCAGCAGGACAAGATCTACATATTTATCATAATGACAACTTTTACCAAATTTGTATTATCTAGCCGAAAATATAGTAGATAAGGAAAAAATTATAAACAGCAAAAAAAATCTGCAGGACAAGATCTACATATTTATAATAATGACATGAATTGACAGCTGGCCCTTTAATGATGATTTTTGCCGATTTTTGCATATTTGACCAAAACTATTGTAGATGAAGAAATAAAAAATTACCAGCTTAAAAAAGATCTGCAAAATATTTCAGGACATTGCCGAAATTGTGAGTAACTGTTGACTCCTTATAGGAGTAATTACCCTTACATCACGATGTTTTTTACCCTTTTCATATGTTGGGGAAAAACTAGAGAAGATAAAAAGAGAAACTGTAAACAGTAAAAACAATCAGCAAGACAAGATCAGCAAATAGTTTATCAAAGCCGAAATAGTAAGTCCACTTTTTAAAAAGTTATTGCACTTAAATGACGATTTCTATCCTTTTTTTATTATTTTGGACAAACACTATTGGAGATAGAGAGTAGAAGCAGAAAAAATCATCAGCATTACAAGATCAATAATAAAGATCTTAAATAACTTTAGAAGAAAGTACCAAAATATCGTCCTCCATCTAAAATAGATTGAAAACAGTGTCGTCATGTCATTAAAACGCCCTTTCGTCCTGGTAAAAACTGGTGTAAACGGGAAAACTCTGAAAACTCTGATACAAAATCTCTTGAATCAGATCCTTATTTGAATAAATGTTCGAATATTGTGGATATTCGAATATCTCATTTTGAAAATAATTTAGAAATAAGTAGATTGGTAGTTTCTAGCGATTTCGCGGGTGTGTTCTAGTGACGTTAATACTACAAGGAAGTTCTTAATAATGAAATTATAAATTCTTCTACATTCAGGTCCGTGCATTTCACAGAGAGTCATATAGTTAACTTCTCAGCTTAAGGCCTCTTCTGAAATTTGAAGATTCCATAGTATTGGTTACCTAAACTACACAAAAAAAACCGTAAAATATCGTTTCATCTCGGCCTCTAGTATGTGTTCTACTACTAATCTTTTAGTTAACCAGTTTCTTATCTACTACCAAAGAACTTGTTATTACCTTTTGTAATAAAACTTATGAAAATAGTGGAATTAACTATTTTTGGAGTGTAAAAAATTCTTAACATGTTTTAGATAAATTACATGCTTTTGATGGTCCTTTTATTCGGTTGACAGTTTTGACTTTTCAACTCTTTATGCTACACTTCCACACAATCTTATCAAAACAAAAGTGTTCCTATTTAATTAAATGGTTGTTTTCAAAATCTGATTGCAAATGTATTTGCTGCAACTCATATAAAGCATTTTTCTCTAATGAGAAAGGTGAATATGCTAGATATACTTACTGGAGGTGTGATGATAGGATTAAAACATTAAATTGTTCTACTTGACAACATTTATGTACGTTTCGGCAATAAAGTTTATCGACAGGTTGTAGGTATTCCTATGAGTACCAATTATGTCCCTTTGATAGCAGACTTGTTCATGTACTGATATGAATCACAGTTTATTGCCGAACTCAGTAAAGATCCGTCTAAATTTCATTTAATTGATAAACTGATCAACAATACTTACCGTTATCTTGATGATATTGTTTCGTTAAATAATCAGGAATTCACTGAATATACTGCCGAAATTTACCCCAAGGAAACTCCTCACAAAATGTACGACAAAAGGGACGATGTTTCGGTCCCTATTGTTAATTGTCGTGTTTTTGAACGGCGATGTTCCTTTGGCAACGTCTTACGGTGTTTTAATATCCCAGCTCGTTCGTTATGCCCGTGTTTGTAGTGACGTTTTCGGATTTCACTGAACGTAATCTATGTATTACTGGTAAATTATTAAGTCACGGATTTCGTTACCACAAATTACTTAAAACATTTACTAAATTCTTTCATAGATACAAATATTTGTTTTGGAAGTTTGGCTGTACCGGTAGAAAACTTATTTCAAACGGGATAGCATATCCTAATGTTTACGGTGACTTTTTAATTAAAATTTAGATACGATCCGTGTAAAATTATCAATCTTTTAACTAAACTTATTCTAAAAAGCCACCGTTCTCTCAACACTGTAATTTGATCTTTGAATATTGTTTTTATTGGTATAAATGTTGGTTTTGTTATAAGTAAATTAAAACCTTACTAAATATTATTGTTATATACACATATGCACACTCACGGTTCTAAAATCTGTCGATACCTATATTTTGGCATTGCACACAAGTTTGTGTTTTTCTCTGACTGTTAATGACGTCTTTACACATAATCCATTGGATGTTGGATGTGTAATGATTGATGTTTTAGTCTTAGATACATAATATTTTTATATTAGTTGTTATTGGATTTTAACTAGCTGTCTGTAACTGCGAGTACTCTAAGATCTGTACTTTCTGTACATGTCTTTTTTGTTTTGAGGGATGTATAAATTCCCTGCCACGTCCGGTCTGTGTTTTCGTTAGTTGTTTTTCTGATGAGTTAAGCTCTTTTGAGCGGATTTTTGTAATAGTTAACTTTGTTCCTATGGTGTACTGTTACACCACTGTCCAAGGTTAGGAGGAGGGTTTCGCGCCAGCAAACATGTTTAACCTCGCCACATTCTATATGTGCCTATCCCAAGATGAGCCTGTAATTGAGTGGTTGTCGTTTTTTGCTTTTTCTCATTTTTTTTTGTCTATTGTTTTGTAGTTTGTTCTTGTGTTTTGCCGTAACACCCCTGTCCCAGGTAAGGGGGAAGATTGGCACCTTCAAACATGTTTAAACCCGCCACATTCTGTATGTGCATGTCTAAAGTCAGGAGCCTGTAATTCAGTGGTTGTTGTTTG